CTTTACCCCCAGCACGAAGCTTGGTAATTCATGGCATAAACTTTGTGAATCTCTATAAAAAATAGCAGCAGGGGAGAATATGGAGACATCTACACCAGCTACCAGCTGGCTTAATAAATTAACTTGTAGCTAACAACGGTTAGCATGTGCTAGCGTTACACGAACAATGAAAAACAGCATCAATTCTTAAAAATACTTTGTTTCTTCCTCTGCCGTCTCTCCACAGACAGTTGGTACAATCCCTCTTTCAGTCTTTCAGCCAGTCCAGTGTTGTACTGATGGAGGTTGTGAAAACAGTCCGAACGAAGTGGTTCAGACATGAAACCAAAATAAAAAAATAAAATAAATACAATTATGAACCTGAAAAGGGGAATAAATAAATAAATAATAATAATAAATAATATCCTTTAAGCATGTTTTTCGCTAGCCAATGTCTACAGGTCCAGGAAATGGTCAAAACAAAAAGGAGCTCTGTGAATCTGCACTCGATTGCTCTTACTGAACACCTTGACCCGTCTGTGACCTTAATAGTGTAATCTTGTGGTTTGAAATTGAATTGAGATCACAAAATTTGAATTTAGAGAACTGAAATTGAATTTAGAGAACTGAATTTGAAAGTACATAAAAAGTTGAATTTTTGGTGAAGCTCAAATTCAGTTTCAAACTAATAAATTCCAATTCAAATTATGCTATTCAGATTCAGTTTTTCAATACAGTTATTCAAGTTGAGCAATTCAGATTCAGTTCTAAATGATTCAAATTCAGTTTCTGCTGACACAAAAATCAGCCCATGGACTGGCTGCGTGTGAGGTAGGATTGCGTACTAAGGCCTTCAAGAAGATCTTCGAAGAACCTTAATAGGTTAATTGGGACATACATATAACATATTAATCAAATTAAATATCTTATGAACTAACACAAAAAAACACTATGACCAGCCATGAAAGCACTCTGTGTGGTTCTTTTGTCCTGCCTACATACATTGCCTTATGCTCTGGTTGACTTTAGCATAACATTAATATCCAGAGCGAACAAGTGAAGCAGAAATGTCCTCTTGTTCCATAATTAGGCTGAAACCGTCTCCATGAAAGTATCTAAATATATAAAAAGAGGTTGCAGCTACCCTGTCACACATCACATCCTACTTTTTCCATTCTGCATTTTGTCAGAAGACAAAGCTGCAATAGTTTTATAAGTGGGCCATGGTGCCTGGAGGCTATGGGATTACCCATGTTAAAAATAAAGAAGGGGATCACAGCCCTTCATGTAGCATATGTTACACTTAGAAATATAAACCATGAACAATAATAAAAGCAACACCCACATGGTTACAGATCGGAAGCTTGTTACAGTCACATTAAAAGGAAACTCGTATGTGAAATTTTCTGAAATCATAAAAAGTAGTTTCTTGAATTTTTAGTGCATGTGTGTGAATTTTTCCAAATATGACAGTAAAGATGATGCTTATGATGCCACTCTAGAGGCTCTTTGAGGCTGAACTCCTGCGATTTCTATTCTGAAATATATATTTTAATGACATTTTTTTGTTATGTGTGTGCGTGTATATACATTTCAGTTGTTATTCTCACATAAAGCATACATTATTGCAAAAATGATCAATGAATAATGAAAAAAACGCTGCCTATGGCCCCTGTGTGCCAACGGATGTACTTTTCTCGGCATATCAGCTGTGTGCGATATGGTAAGCTTTTCATGGTGGCCCCTGATTGGTTGACACTGCATGCTGAAAATAACTGGGTTACACCCAAGGAAAATTGGCAGATTTGGCGATTTTCTGCCCAGTTGCTGTGGCCGCAGGGTGGATTGTGTCAGTACAAAAATTTGGGTTATTACAAAATGTCCGCCTGGTTTGTCATAGTGTGGGTAATTTTTCTCATTTATTTTCTATATTCTAACTGTAGTTGCACCACAGAGGCCGCCAGTTTCTAGCTGGTCACACCAGCAAGCAGGAACAACTATGGCTAATACAAATAAATAATTTGAAAATAATATTGATCCACTCCAAACGGCCTGTAAGTCGTAGGCTACTGTTCTGAACCAGGTTGACGGCTCTGGTCCAGGTCTTCCCAACGGTATTGACCCGGATTTTGCTCAACTAAGCCCAACATGCCTCTCTGCATCTTGTCCCGACCGGCATACATAAATTAAAAAAAACAACTAATTGTGACAGTTCAAGTGCACCGCATTAGGAGATTCATTTTATCCAAAGCCTAAGTGGTAAAAAATTCATGTAGCCTGTTCACGGCCTGGATATTACTATGTTAGATTTTATTCCAGTTCATGACAGGGCTTCGCTTCCACAATTTCCCATAAATACTGAGATATCTATATTTCTGAACACACACACTTCATTAAAATAATAATAAAATAATATATTTTTTAGTTGTTGTTGACATTCTTAATCTTAATTCTAAAACAAATATAGGGTAAAACTTTTTGTGGCTGCAGTATTTGCAGTCTAAATTCAATTCAATTAAATGTTTGTTTGTTTTGTTTTTTTTACCAAGGATTCATTATTATCTTTAGTAAATAATGCACTGCTGGGACTCACTTTGGCTGTAGCCCAACCTTGTGGAAAAGTCGCACTGTGTGTATGTATATGTACAGGTGTATATATGCCAATGTGCATCTGTACATGTATTGTAATATATTTAACTAGAAAATTCCTAAAGAAATTTTGAGTGTGCCTGGCTCTGGCCCGTATATTTATACCATGTCTTCCTCTCTAGCACGCTAGCTAGCTAGCACTAGCATATTAATACCTTGTTATTCACTTCAGCTAGCTAGCTAGCTAGTGCTAGCTTATTAATACCTTAAATACTCCTCTCTAGCTAGCTATGTGTGCGTGCATGTGTGTGTGGGAGGCAGGCTTTGGTGGTCGTGGCAACCAGAGGAGGCCACAGCAGCTGCAGGCTTTCTCTTTGTCTCTGACTCCTGAGGGACACAGAAAATCTTAAAATCAACTCCCTCGAACCATTGGCCAGGAACGACCGAAATGAAAACCGAATAGACTGTGAGGATCGTCATCTTGTTGACCATAGGACTGCTGAGTTTCAGTGGCTAAAGTTAAAAAATGGGACCTCGGGAGATTGAGAAAGAAATGGTGCAACAAGCTCCTTTCAAAATTTCTCCTTTACAATTAACATGGGAGTAGATGGGGCCGTGAGAGGGTGTTGCTGACGTATCAGTGCATTTCCCGCCAAAACTATTAGTCTGACAGCTTCAGCAGTGGTATCACTGCTACCCCAACGAATTGACCTACATTTCAATTCAATTCAATTCAGTTTTATTTGTATAGCGCCAATTCATAACAGAAGTTATCTCAGGACACTTTTCAAATAGAATAGGTCTAGACCGAACTCTTTAAAACATTAATTACAGAGACCCAACAGTACCACCATGAGCAAGCACTTGGAGACAAGGGCAAGGAAAAACTGCCTGTTAAAAGGCAGAAACCTAGGACAGATCCTTCGGCTCTAGGTGGGTGGTCGTCTGCCTCAACCAGTTGGGGTGAGAGAGGGAGAGAGAGAGAGACGGACAGAGAGAGAGAGAGAAAAAAGACAGACAGACGACAGACAGGTGCACAGCAACAACAGTATTGGCAATGGCAATCTATCAGGACCATGGCAGGAGGCTCCACCAGGATCGATAAGAACCTGCGAGACGAGAAAGCACAAGAACTCCGGGGAAGAAGTGAAGTTAGTAACATGCATTAATGGAACATGAATGAGTGCAGAAAGAGAGAGGAAGGGAGAAGCTCAGTGCACCATGGGAAATCCCCCAATAGTCTAGGCCTATAGCAGCATAACTAAAGGATGGTTCAGGGCTCACCTGATCCAGCCCTAACTATAAGCTTTATCAAAAAGGAATGTCTTAAGCCTACTACTACTCTACTACTCTTGAATGTGGTGAGGGTGTCTGCCTCCCGAACCACAACTGGAAGCTGGTTCCACAGGAGAGGAGCTTGGCTCCTGTTCTACTTTTTAGAGACTATAGGAACCACAAGTATCCCAGCATTCAGAGAACGTTTAAACCAAAGAGCAGTGTTATAGGTGAGGGGAGGATTTTAAATTTATTCTACATTTTACAGGAGCGTGCGGAAGCTAGTACAGGAGTGTGTCTAATTCTAGTTCCTGTGTACTCCTCTAAATTGGAGCGTTTTAATGGACTTTTGGGGCAACCGATAATGAAGGAGTAAGCCTAATAAAAATGCATGGACTTTTCTGCTCTGGGATAGTATTTTTTTTTTTTTTTTTTTTTTAAAAAGGAAAGGGGGGGTTGTGGGGGTTTTTTTTTTTGGGGGGTTTTGTGGGTAAAGTTAAAGAATGTGACCTCGGGAGATTGAGAAAGAAATGGTGCAACAAGCTCCTTTCAAAATTACTTCTCTCCAATTAACATGGGATTAGATGGGGCCGTAAAACAGTGTTGCTGGCGCATCAGTGCATTTCCCGCCAAAACTATTAGTCTGACAGCTTCAGCAGCGCTAACACTGCGACCCCAACAGATTTACCTACGTTTCTATCTATGAATTATTTCGGTAGAGTTACATTTGTGGCCTTGAGAGCAGTTTACAAATTTATTTTTCGACAAATTTTTCTCTCTGTCTACACTGTAGTGATAAAGTCACGCACTGTGAGAATCCTACCAATACACACCCATTCATTTTTCTGGCCTGGTTTTTGGCGATTTATTTATTAACTGTTTGGTGAAACGGTTAGAATGTTCATTTATAATGCATATATACATATTACCTTAGTAAATAGACTAAGAAATGTTACACTATGTCAACACAATATTTTAGTTGTTTGTAATTTCTCCTCCATAATGAATGCAAATGGTGATTGAAAAACCCCAAACCAATAGAATTTGGGCACAAAAGAAACCCCCAAACATACCAGATGGTAGAAATAAGGCATTTAGAATAGCAGTGAGATTACAGCCAGTGTCTAATGCCCATCCCTTCCTGTCTGTTTCTCTAGATGGGAGGAACTATGTACAACACGGGGAAGCACGTGTCCCTGCGGCCGGACAAAGCCCACCTGGTAAACATCTCGGGGGGCCCGCTGGGTTACAGCTACAGGCTGGAGGAGGTCCGTCTCCATTTTGGCAGCGAGGACTCCCAGGGTTCAGAGCACCTCCTCAATGGACAGGGCTTTCCCGGAGAGGTAAGAGACGAGACAGAGACGACACATGCTGGGTTAAACACAGACAGGCACACAAACAAAAAGAAACAGAGAAACACAAACACATCTACACAGACAGCAGAGCAGTGAATACTAACAGGGATTCCCTGAGCTTCTCTGTCTTTGAGTAATTTATTTTTCATGTACCAAGTCTGCGTGGGCTTAACAGACACATGTGCACAGGCAGACCTCTGTGCTCTGGTCATATGAAGGACGGAGGCCGGGTTGCACATTGTCTTTTTTGTTTTGAAAATGAAATCACAACACTTTACATTTAAACATTAATCAGAAATCAAACTCATATTCATTAGTTGTTGTCTTGCTGGACGCCCTGTGTCACTGTGCCTCTCTTTCAGGTCCAGCTCATCCATTACAACCAGGATCTGTACGCCAACTACACCGAGGCAGCTAAGAGCCCTCATGGCATCGCTGTGGTCTCCATCTTCATAAAGGTCAGTGTGTCCCTCTGGGTGTACAATGAAGGTCCAATTAGAAAGTACATCTGTGAAAGATCGGTTGCTACTCATATCAGATGGGAGATTTAAAACACAGGCTCTCAGCTGTGGATTATGGTCATTACACTAATGTAAGGATGGCAGTGCAGGAAAGTAAAGTTCACTGTTTTAGTCCTCACTGCTACTTGCTACGTGTGAATGTGTGTGTGTGTGCGTGTGTGTTGTACTGTGGTTTGTGATGAATATTTTATCCCCCTCTCTTTTTGTCATCTCTCAGCTCTCTGAAAACTCCAACTCCTTCCTCAACCGCATGCTCAATAGAGACACCATCACCAGAATCAACTACAGACGTAAGACACAAAAACACACTCTCTCTCTCTCTCTCTCTCTCTCTCTCTCTCTCTTTACACACACTCTCTTTCTCACACATACTCACACACACACACACACACACACACACACACACACACACACACTGTTTCCTGCTGTGTTCTTTTTTTCCTTAGACAAGCTAATTCTGCCATGAACATCTACAGAGCTGTATTTTGTTCTTTGTATAAAATGATCCATTTAAACACTACATAATGAGTTGATTATAGAACTCATCAAAAAACCTGACACTGTCAAACAAACTCTAAATATAGGCTGTAACATCTCCCCCTTTTTAAAAAAATTTTAATAAAAAATTTTTTTTTTTTTTTGGCGTTTTTTTTTTAAAATATTTTTTCAATAAATAAATTTTTCTTTTTTTCTCAAAATTACTTTGAAATAGTAGAAACAAAAACCATTTTTGTACTTAAGTTACGTAATCCATTTTATTACAAAAAATGAAACAAATCTAAATACTAGGGATGTAACAATCAAGTCATCATCAAATTCATGATACTGGGTTGATGATATGATTTTATGGTTTTTTAGTATAAGGTGCAATATTTACAAAGTTTGAAGAAGTCCAAAGGTTTCTCTGACATGCTTGGAACTGGAGAGTGAGGCGAGAAGGTTGCAATGTGCAGCTTCTTCGCTAGATGCCACCAAATCCTACACACTGGACCTTTAAAACTGTCACATTTGAATGACGTAAAATAAAATGAAATCAATTAGTCCTTAATTTACTACAGTCTAATTACAGATTATACTACAGTCTAATTACAGATTATTTGAAATTGGGCTTGATTATAATTACAGCACTTATTTTTTACAATTTGAATTTTTAAGATACTACCCGACCCTGTCCGTGCATCAGTTTTCTAAATGCTCCTCTTGTGGTTTGAATTCTGTTGCAAAAACTGCATTATCACCTCCATCAATGGAGGTTATGTCTCCAGTACCAAACGGTTGTTTGTTTGCACAGATATTTTAAATAATTAGAATTTTATCAAAATTTGGTGTAAAGTTAGATCGTGAGCCAGTGATCAGTTGAATCTTATTTGGAGTTGTTAATGAGAGTTTGGATACTGGAATTTCACAAAGGATTCATTCACAGAGAGTGTCTTCATTATATGCAAGTAAAGTTTCTTTGAATGCTGTTACCTAATATGACACACAGGAATGGAACATGAATGGAAGGGGGTGCTGTGCTGATTAATAAATATACTCTCATTCATCACAGTGGAGCACGACAACAATGTCTCAACTAATAGGTAAAGCTTTTTCAGGAAATCAGAGCGGCACAGTGTGTACACACAGCACGGCATATCTGCAGATGGTGTGCTTTTTCTTTTCAGTTAATTAGTAAGGTGATGATTGAAACAAATTAAAAATAGTCTGGTGAAGATGTTTATATGGTCACATTAATCAATTCTCGTAATAATTCTACCGTATTTCATGTTGCAAATGGTTACACCACATCTTAAAGTGTGACACCAGCATTCGCTTGGTAATGTATTTCCAGAATAAAACATGAACTAGTTGGAAAGAAGGCTGTGACGCACAGGATTGATGAGCTCCCCTAATCTGATGTCTCACACATAAACAGCAGAATGCTGAGTTATAATGGAGCTGGTCTGGTGTGTGTGCTTATTTTGTAGCGGCGTGGTGTTGTCTGCATTTGATTTAATCAAGATAAACACAGTGGACGTTCTCCAGTCAGTGGCTGCAGATTTATCAAAATGTCCGTCCTGCTGCCTATAGATGGCTGCAGGGATTTAATGAAGTGAAGTATAAAGCTGCTGTGGACAACAGATACTGTAGGAATCACTCATAGTCATTTATAAATCAATGCAGGCTGATGTATCTATGTTCCTGCTTCAACCACAATAAATAATGCTGATTTAAATGCATCCCCAGGCTAGGGAGTGATTAAATAAATTAGTGTATTTACATTTTAAATATTATTACGTTTTTGCACATTTTGCTGCAAGTATTTAGTTTCCTCTTGTTGACAAAATCCCCAAAGAGGCAGCATAGTGACTTTGAGAGCCCATTTCCATCAAAATACCAACAGCTCGCTTTGCACTGCCTAATTTGAATTAAGCTCCCACCTGTGCACAGTGCACTCTGCACCAAAATCCCACCCAGACGGAGTAGGGTCCAGCTGCGGCCTTGCAGATGCTACAAGCCACACCTCCTTCAAAACATGCCCACGTGTGCACAAAGTTACAGTGGCTGAAGAAGATAAGATAAGATAATTCCTTTATTTATCCCCCTAAGGAGAAATTAATTTTGACACAGCAGCAATAAGGCAAAGCAGCGCAAAATCACAGTAAATATTATTAATATTAGAAGATATAAAAACTATAAATTAAAGTATATACACTAAAACTAAAACTACTAAACTACAAAAGGTTTGCACGTTGTAGGTAGGAGTTCTAAACCAGACTTTATCTGCTGAGGTTTGAGGAACTGGGAGCTGTTGCGTTGTGGAGTCTGATGGCTGATGGTACAAATGAGCCTCCAAACCCCTTTGAGGCTCAGGGCTGGGTCAGTCTGTGGCTGAAGATGTTCCTGAGCTGCCTGAGCTCAGTGTAAAGAGGATGACAGGGGTTGTCCATGATGGCTTTCAGCTTCCCTCTCATCCTCTTCTCCGTCACAGCCTCCAAACTGTCCAGCTCCATCCCCACCACCGAGCTGGCCTTCCTCACCGGCTTTCTAACCTTATTGGCAGCCCCAGTGCCGATGCCTACCCCCCAACAGACCACTGCAAAGAAGAGGACACTGGCCACAACAGACTGGTAGAACATCTGTAGTAGCCGAGTGCACACGTTGAATGACCTGAGCCTCCTCAGAAAGAACAGTCAGCTCTGTCCTTTCCTGTAGAGGGCCAGTCCAGTTTATTGTTGAGTGTCACCCCCAGGAACTTGTAGGTGTCCACCATCTCTACCTTCTCCCCCCTAATCTCAACTGGGGAGGGGGTCCTCCTGCCCCGCCGGAAGTCCACCAATTCAATTTAATTCAATTCAATTTTACTTGTATAGCGCAAATTCATAACAGAAGTTATCTCAGGACACTTTTCAAATAGAGCAGGTCTAGACCAAACTCTTTAAAACATTATTTACAGAGACCCAACCACCACCGTGAGCAAGCACTAGGCGACAAGGACAAGGAAAAACTGTCTGTTAAAAGGCAGAAACCTAGGACAGATCCTTCGGCTCTAGGTGGGTGGTCATCTGCCTCGACCAGTTGGGGTGAGAGAGAGAGAGAGACAGACAGACAGACAGACAGACAGACAGGTGCACAGCAACAACAGTATTGGCAATGGCAATCTAGCAGGACCATGGCAGGAGGCTCCACCAGGATTGCTAAGAACCTGCGAGACACCACCAGCTCTTTAGTTTTTCCTGTGTTGAGCTGTAGGTGGTTCCTGTCGCACCATCCAATGAAGCTCTCAATCAGGTCTCTGTACTCTTCCTCCCTATCATCTGTGATACAGCTGACATTGTAGGAGTCATCGGAGAACTTCTGTAGGTGGCACGCTCCAGAGTTGAAGCAGAAGTCAGAGGTGTAGAGTGTGAACAGGAACGGTGATAGTACAGTTCCTTGGGGTGTACCAGTGCTGCTGGTTACTACATCTGACAAGCAGCTGTGCAGTCTGACATATTGTGGTCTGTCAGTGAGGTAGTCAGTGATCCAGGCCACGAGGTCCTGATCCACCTGCATCACAGAGCTTTTCTGCCAGCTGGAGAGGTTTGATGGTGTCGAAGGCACTGGAAAGGTCGAAGAACATGATCCTCACGTTGATTTGTGACTTCTCCAGGTGGGTATAAGCTCTGTGAAGCAGGTAGTTGATGGCATCATCCACACCGATGTAGGCCTGGTACGCAAACTGCAGAGGATCCAGGCAGTCGTGTACCAGGGGTCTGTCTGGTTCGGTGTGTCCCGTGCCGTCGTCAGTCGGTGTCGGCGTTCATTTTGGCCGATTCGACATGTAGAATCGGCCATTGGCCGTCGGCCTTAATGACCAATCTGATTGGTGGAGTGCTAGCCCTTGACAAGCGAATCAGTGAGTGCACGAGAAAACCGGAAATGACGATGGTAAACATACTACGCCAACACCAGTATCTTGCTATTATTAGCCATCGTATTTTCCGTTCAGCGAGTAATGACAATAACGATCCTTCTTGACTACTATCAACACTCTCTGATGAAAACAATGACTGACAACAGCGTGCTCTGTGTTTACTAGGTCTAGAGTGATCCGTCAATTCCGGTTTTCATTTTTTGGGCGACAACACAGATTAACGCCGCCTGCTGTTATGGGGACATATTATGCCTCGCGCATGTGCAGAACGTATGCTCCAGTCGGCGTCTGTTTGGTGTGTTCAGAGGCACTTTTTTGACCGACTCGGGGAGACGGGAGCCGACTGATCAGTCTGACTGCTTTTCTGCCGACGGTCGGCCGTCGGGTTGGTGTGTGCTGGCATTAAGGCTACAGCCCTGAAGTCTTTGAGAGCGTTGGGTCTTCCTTTTTTGGGAACAGGAACTAAGCAGGAAGTCTTCCAGATCTTTGGCACCTTCTTCAACCTCAGGGAGAGGTCAAACAGATGCTGGAACACTCCTGCCGGTTGCTCAGCACACACCTTAAGGACTCTCGGGTTGACGTCGTCTGGACCACTGCTGCACAGTCCTGGTGATGGACTGTTTCCTCCTAACAGCAGGCCTGTATTTAGGATTGAGATGTATCAGGCAGTGGTCAGATTTGCAGAGAGGGGGGAGGGCTGTGGTGCTGTATGCCTCCTTTACATTGGCATACAGCAGATCTAAGGTCTTTTCCCCTCTGGTGTTACAGGTGACATGGTTAAAATCTCCATTTATGATGATGATGGGATGGCGTGTCTGCAGGTCTGCAATGGTGGAGTGGATGATGTCACAGGCGTGCGCCGCTACTGCCGATGGAGGAATGTAAACAGTGACGACGATAGTGGCCGTAAACTCACGGGGCAGATAGTATGGCCTTAACCCTATGGCCAGCAGTTCAATGTCAGGCGTGCAGATTTCTGCCTTCTTGACAACATGTCCAGGGTTACACCATTTAGAGTTCACAAAGACAGCGAGCCCTCCTCCAGACTCTGTTTCTTCCTGTCTGCCCGAACTAGTGAAAAGCCAGCTAGTTCCACTAAACGGTCTGGTGTAATGTCATTCAGCCATGTCTCCGTCAGAAAATAATATGCTGCACTCGCGATCCTCTGGCTGCCCGTTGACCAGGGCCAAGAGCTCGTCCGTCTTGTTGTTCACCGAGCGTTTACACATTGTTTATATTTAAAAAAACTAAAAAAAAAAAAATTAACTTCCACACTGGGTTTTTACAACATAAACTTTTTTTTAAAAAAAAAAAAAAATATAATATTTTAAAAGAAAAAAAAAAGGGGGGGGGGGGGGGTTGTTGGGTAAAGCTGCCACTCTCTGCGGCGCTTCTAGACAGACCATAGCAGATCAAAAATAAACTGAAAATGTTATCACAGGTAGCAATTTTAGCAACTATTAAAGGACCAGTGTGTAGAACTAGTAGCATCTAGCGGTTTATTAATTTATTAATTCATGAATGCAAACTAAAGGTTACTAAAGGTAAAGGTAAAAAATAAAAGTAGGTATTTTAACTATTAAGCAGAAATAATGAGGATAAACTGTGAATTGTATTTGCCTAACTGCTAAAAAAGAAAGGTTTTAAATACATTTTATAGAATTAATAATTTAATACCTTTTGCACATTTCACATCATGAGAGGACCCGTCATGTGCTGAATGGGCCTGACCCAAACATTTCCTATTTCTTACCATCTCACTACCAACTCATGCCTAAACCTAATCATCAGCCAATCAGAGGCAGAGTAGGGCAGGTCTTTGTAAACGTGTACATTTAATGTAGGCCTAAAACACTATTTAGTTCTCTCATTTCTGAATCTCACATTAGCCTATAGTTTGGTATGTTGAGATAAATGTAATTACATTTTACCAGCTCACAAACCGTTTCATTTCCTTCATGTTCGTGCTTTACCTTTGTGCTGCAACTGGATGTATTTGCATATGGCAAAGCTGCCTTAAAGGTCAGGAAAATACCTGGACCAGAAAAACAGTTGACTGGTTGTTGCACCGACACACAAAAATTCAGACCTAAGAGTCTGCAGAACTTGCTAGCAACCCTGTGAGGCCAGTGATTTTAGACTAAATGCTAACATGTTCACAATGACAATGCTAACATGCTTTCAGGGTGTTTGAATATTCATCCCATGTTTGCATGGGTTTCGTCCGGGTGCTCCAGTTTCCCCCACCATCAAAACATGTATGTCAGGCATTTTAGTGACCATGGCACTAGCTCATATCCACACGTTGCCCACTGCTCCTAGTGCTTAGGTTGGGAAGATGGAAATTAATTTCCCTATCATCAAGTGTATGATGACTGATGACGCCTGACTGATATTTATGGATATTTCATATTATATTCAGTGCATGCTAGCACGCTGCCAGCATGGCTAAAACCTTTGCAGTTTAAAAGTTGACACACTAATCTTGGAGACAGTTCATTCCTGATAATGGGAGATCTAGTTTACGCTCTGCTCTACACTCTGCTCTACATACTGTTACACAACAACAACAACACACACACACACACACACACACACACACGTTTTCTGGCATTCCTTCAGCAAGAATGCATTCTTAATTTCATACAAATCAGTGCTACATTGCCAAAATCTGTTTTCCAACATCGTTGTGAAGATGTACGGCCCTCTGGAGAATTCCTCCCAGTTAATGGGGCTAAACATAGCAGAACTACACACACAGACACACACACACACACACACACACACACACACACACACACACATAGACACACACACAGACTGTTTTTGTCACTTAGGAGGTCATTACATTGACTAATTCTCTGGAGACGAACAGTAACCTAAAACAAGAAGTTTTAACCCTAAAACTGTTAGCCTGTGGGAACAAGCAGTTTGTCCATAAATAGGAGGCGAGTCCCCCTAATGTGAGGGTGTGAGTAGAATTTTAGCACACTCTCTGCTCCAACATATTTATGTTTTTTTTCTCAGGCAAATCATTCCTTTTAATTGGTCCAAACATTATAGATTCATACCCTGATGCAGTTCTGCATAATCCACACGCATGCACACGCCACACACACACACACACACACACACACACACACACACACACACACACACACACACAGTATTCATCTCTCCTCTCTTTCCCTCTGACAGTGCGTTCCTGTTAATGGCTCTGAACATAACGGACTTTCACACAACACACTGCATCAGCTTAACACCCCCTCTGTCTGATTCTTCTCTCTCTCTAGATGATGCGTTCTTACTGATGGGCCTGAACATAGCCGACCTTTACCCTGACACCACGCGTTACATCACTTATGAGGGCTCCATCACTATCCCTCCGTGCTATGAGACGTCCACTTGGATACTCATCAACAAGCCTGTCTACGTGACACAGATGCAGGTATGTGAGCATGGAATTAAGTAAATGTGATGTGGGTAAAAAACAACACACATTCTGTTGACTGGGGCAGAAATGTACTTCCCAATATCCTTGCTGGCGCAGGGGGCAAAGCTTTGAATTGCAAATTGCCACTTCATAACCTGTAACTGAAAGCATCTACTTTTCCCTAAGTGGTTTAGATAAAAGAGGATGTGTTGTAACAGTAATGTAATGAAATGCAGTTCATATACACAGGGCGCACAACACCATCCAAATGTTAAATTGCACCCGCTTTTGCCTCTCAGTAGTAGTCTCAAGGTCTAAAAAGAATCCTCCTCTGTATCTTTTTTAACAGTAGGAATGGAGAAAATCTACTAGGTGCATTTGCATACATTCATGTACCCCTTTTCTGCCAAGGGAGTTTGAGAGCTGGTTTGGAGCTGTTGTCTAAACTCAAACCCGTTCTTTGCCTTTCAACAGCCAAAGAACCACCCAATTGTTTCCAGTGCTGGTCTCAAACCAGAAGTTGTTTACTACAGGGATGGGTGGCACGTTGTCATCAGCTCTTTTGCACGTAGATGTTAAGAACATAAAATTGAGCGAGCTGGCTGGCTAGCTAGTTGTTGGTCAGCTAACATTACCTCAGCAAACATAGCTACCGATTTCTGACATTAATATTTAGTTTGTTACTTCAAGGTTAATAATGTAGATGTGAGACATTAGTAGCTATGCTTTCCCACCATGAACAGGCACTTGGTGGCAATGGCAAGGAGAAACTTCCTTTTTATTTCCTTCCTTTTTTCCATTCTTTACCTAACAAAACTAAGCTGAAAAACTAGCACAGAACCTCTAAAAAAACATACGGGGTCTGAACAGGTTCTTTGCTAAATAGCGCCTCAACAGTCTCAAAGAACCACTGAAGAACCAATATCTTTTTTTCAGTGAGCTGGTTTCTGACCGGAAAGCCTTTTTATGTCACTGAGAAGCAGCTGGATAGATTGGATTCAAACCCGACTCTTCAAATCAAGAAGCGCAACGTCAAAGAGCAACACATTACAATCCAGCACAACACTTACCTGCTTGCATCAAAGTAATCAGCTCCCACACACCATCTGCCATTTACTCTCACTTTATTTACTCCCACTCTCACACACCCATCCTTTGTTCTCACTTGTCTCTCAACCCAGTCTGATCTCTCTCTTTCTTCTTCATTCCATTTTTTTGCTGTTTCTCCTTCATCCCTCTTTTACAGTCTCTCTCTATTGGATCAGGTTGCTCTTTTTCATTTTTCATTTTGCTCCACAAACTTTCGTGGCCCTCACATCTCGCTCCCATAAAACCTTTAATGGTTCCAGAAGGGAACTGTTTGAAGTCTTATAAATGTCTTCAAGTATTGCCACTTGGTTGGGTTCAGCGGTGTATCTTGCAGCCATGTCAACATTACAAATAAAGAAATTCTAAACCAAAAACAAAATGTAGGACTACAGTGTCTCATGTCTTTTATCCACATTCAGTCCAATTAAAGTTTCCCGCTTTTACTTTACTTACTTCAACTGCAATAAAGTCATTTTCCCATGTTACCTGTCTTAAAATGAAACGAAACTAGATGGAAACTTAGTATATGACTAGACTATATATGGTCAGCGGAAGTCTCTATAATGCAGATTTCGGAATATGAAATGTTCATCTGCAATTTTCTGTAGTGGTCCCAGTAATATTTAAGTTGCACTGAAGTTGCCATGAGTGAATCTGGAAAGAAAACACACAGACTATCTATTATCAATAACTAATAAATTATGTATTATATATGATATAAAATGATCACATTGATTATGATAATTAATTAAATATGCATCCCCTGCTTGCCAACTAGTGATTTCTCTGCCTCTCTCCCTGCTGTTCTCCAGGAGTTTCGATTCCAAAGGTTTTGCTGTTGCGGTCTAGCCAAAAATTAGTATACTGATTTTCCTCTTAGAAAAGTAACTAGTGTCGCTGCTCTTTTCATTACTTAGTTTTACACTCCAAAACAATGGCCTAAATCATGACAAACATACAGTTTTTTAAGATCTTAATAGAGATAACGCCTACAGCATTAAATTCACACTTTGAGTCATAATAAATATATCATTAGCTCATTAATGTGGGCTCCAATCCTATTTCTAATATTTCTAAAATTACTTGAAGGCAACATAACAAAGGGGAATATTTCTGTAGAAATTACACTAATAAAGAGGTTAATGAGCCTAAATATCACAATTATAAAGTACCAGCCGAGCTGTAATTGAAGTTGTGGCAACATTTTGTACTGCTACTTTATACTAATGCCTTTTTATGTTTATGCTTGGCAGAAAAAGGTCATGCTTTGCAGCAAGAAATTGAAATAAACAAAAATAGAGTACATCTTTTAATATTTCTCGTTGTCAGTTTGTGATTCTTATGTGCAGAATCTCAATGAGTCCAGTTCAGTGACTTCAGGATTGCAACTCTGCAAAGCTTTTTGCGGATGATGTAGTTTGGCTTGCTTCATTGTACTGTGACCTCCAGCATGCACAGGGAGATTTTTCAGCTGAATGTAAAGTAGTCTTAAGCCGTGGTATAGGAAAATGCGGCAGTACCCCCTTCAGAGTTGCACTTCCAAATCAAGCAGTACCCCAGGGTAGCGGACATGTGAGATCCATGGGTGGATCAGTGCAGTGGGTTAGGGTTAGGGTTAGGGTTAGTGGGCTTTTTTGTAGGGATTTCATGGTGAGGGAGCTGAGGAAGAAGGGGAAGCACTTGATTTAAGTTCCAGCCCTCACCTGTGGTCATGAGCTACAAATGTTTTGCCTCAGACATGCAGCATTAACCTCAGTCTTTTAGCAAGTTATTATTTTGTAGCCATCAAGTGACCTGTCTGCACCAGGTTTGTTACACAGAACCATCTAGGAAGTTGTCATTGCAAATTGTTTGGAAAACGGCAGGCATTTTCAGAAAATACTCGGCATGTGATTGGATGAACCATACGTCTATCATGTGCAAACTTCAAACAGTTAGATCATCAAAGCATATAACGTAGTCGAACAAAAACTGGTTGGCAGTGAAAACATCTTTTCCATCAAGAAAGGTCCACCCTTTGCTTTTCTTTCAATGAAGAAATGCTCTATAGCAGCCGCCATTGTTCCAATGAACAATCACTTCTCACACACGTTGTCATACACTTCTATCGTTAACCTACGCTCATTTTAAAACAAGCATGCCAGGAACATTACAAATGTTGCTTAGCAAATGGTCAATTGGGAAAAGTGAGGATCCAGCATCTAGTATAAGAGGACCTATGGGTTTCAATTAAATAACTTCAGTACCCCGACTTGGGGGCAGTGGTTGCCGAACTAAGCTGAACCAAAGTCAAACTCAAATAAAGCAAAACCACTCCACTTCTCCTCCACAGATGCACTCCCTGCGCCTCCTCAGCCAGAACGAGCCCTACAAGATCTTCCTGAGCATGAGTGACAACACCCGGCCCACCCAGCCTCTGCTGCAGCGCTGCATCCGAACCAACATCAACTTCAGCAAGCAGGGCCGCGACTGCCCCAACAACCGCGCCCTCCGCCCACAGTACAGAGGTAACATGGAAGAGGGGAGGAGGGAAGGGAGAAGCAATGTTTCTGCATTAATAAATAAAAACTTCTGTTCTGCCAGAAATGAATGCCATTTTTTTTTTTTTTACACTTTTCATCTCTTTAAAGCTAATTAGGGCATTTCTTAAAGGCTTGTGCCAAGAGATTTTTTAAATTAGTTTTGCCAAACCTCTCAGACTTGTGGACCACATTCGCTCCCCTATAAAGACCAGGAACATTTCCATTAAACCCAGTGGGGATAATAAACCACTGTCAATGCCAATCATGTTTTGCAATAGGTTGTTTCTATCCCATTTAAGTTTTGAAAGAAGTTAAACTCAAGAAAACCATAAAGGCCGGATGCGTACACAGACAGCTGCGGACAAAACAGCTGTGTAGTAGTTCTCTTTATATTATTTTCTCCATTTGGAGGAAGAGTTCCCCGCAGTGTAGTGTCACCACAAATTGGCAGTATGCCTGTTCGCACAGAACCTATGCGTAAACCCCCTGATGACGAAATTTACATCACTTGAACCCTAGCGGGCCCTTGCGTATGCCTACTTAAGAATAGAGCCAGGACAGTGCGTGTTACTGGTTCTGCACACTTCAGCCTTGCATTGGTACATTGTGCTGTGGCAATGCTGAGGTTCAGATTTTGCAGGAGGCCTCTGTATCTGGTCCGTTCATTCATTTACATGACATAAAGTGGCCCTATTGATATGAATGAGGCTGCTGCATTTTTTTTGCAGACAGTAATGTCTGCCTAAAGATGGCCTCCTTCTCCATTTTGCACATTTCCAACAATACCTAATGTGCTTACCAGGCCTGCAGTCAAAATTTTAGGGAACCTGAGGCCAAGAGTCTAAAGTCACTTTATTTTACTTATATTTTTAGACTAAAACAGTCAAATTAAATAATTATTTTCTTTAAACTCACCATGCATAGGTTATATTTGTGTATAATTGTAGAATTTCAGCTTCTCCTTAAAACCCATAAATTCCCTTAAACAGGACATGACCTTTGTGTCCTCAGTTGTAGTTACAGTGTGTGCCTATAAAGTCTTCACCCCCATTGGAAGTCTTCATGTTTTATTGTTTTATGACACTGAATGTAAGTAGATTAAACTTTTTCTTTTTAAAACTCTCATCAATAGAAAAGGAGAACAGAGTGAGAAATTATGAAAATCTATACTAATTAAATATAAAATACAAAATGCATGTTTGCATTAAGTATATACTACAGTACATTTCATTCCCATGACTACACATAGTCGATCTCCATTTAACTAATTATGTGACTTCTTAAATGTCCAGTGTATAGGATTTAGTTGCATCCAGCAGTGTAGTTTTAGTTGTAGTTGCGTTCCGGGCTACTGTAGAAATATGGCGGTTCAACATGGCTGCTTCCATGGAAGGCGATCTGTGGTGTCTGTGGATAAACAGCTCATTCTAGGGTAACAAAAACACAACAGTTCCTATATTCAGGTGATTATAAAAACATACCTATGAATACTATATTTCATTTCTGCCAGTAGATCCTCCTAAATGTTACACACTGCATCTTTAATATGATGTTTAACTTCACGGTATAATATATCTAGGATGTGTAAATCATAATATCTCATAACTACTCTGATCACAGATTTATAGCACCTTATAGTTAGAAGGTCTTACAGCCTCCTAAATAGTATGCACTGTACCTTTAAACTAAATGTCTGTTGATCAGTGTCAAAAAGGTCAATTAAATCTACTTCAATTCAACGTTGTAAAACAATAAAGGATGAAAACTTCAGAGAGCAGGTCAATATTTTTTATAAGCAGTGTACAGACCTGGTTTTAATGGTACACAATCAAGTCCAGACAAGCCAAAGACAGACACGTCTATCAGCTACAGTCTGTAAAAAATATGATGCTATTGCATCAGAAAATGGATCCTCTTCATGTTCAAAAACTACATTTCAAAGTTCTGAACTAAAAACTAAATCATTATAAAAATAGCAAACATCTAATATATTAAAAGCTTAAAAACACCATCTGCAGTGAGGAGAGTCAGGACACTGTCAGCCATTCTGCAGTTGAGACTTTAGCCCCATTAAATGCAATAATTAGTAAGTAATGTTTTGACAAATTAAAATGGCACCTTGTCTCTGCAGTTTGCAGTAAAAGCAAATGTATGTTTTACATGAGTGTTTAGACTTAGCAGCAGCAGTGAGCAATAGGAATGTGCAATCCTTTAAGGTCTGAATCTGCAATAGGTTTAGGCCACTGAGAGAAGTCAGTGGAAGGTCCTCATAAGTATAGAGATACTGTACTGCTGATCATTAAAGCTGCCTGGAGCGTGGAGGGAAGGTTGACTGAGCATGGCTCCATGTCAGAATGTGAAAATAGAGAATGGAACAGAGGGGGAGCTCTCCTGGGAGCAAAAGAAGGGTTAGACACATATGAAAATAAAAATATATGTGTGTGTGTGTGTGTGTGTGTGTGTGTGTGTGTGTGTGTGTGTGTGTGTGTGTGTGGGAGTGTATTGTCTGTTTGTGCAGATTTAAAACTGGGAGTGCGTAGGTGAGCTGGTTGGCGTTAAAGAGAAAGCTGGTACATCACATACACAAACAATAAATGTGGAAGTGCTACGCAGAGAGTGTGGGAGTCCTCGTATCCTCTCTGTGCTCTCCCCAAATATCTTTGTAATCGATCCGGTTGAGCCCAGCGTGCTCTTCACAACATCAAATGGATTCCACAGCCTCGGCTTCCCTTTGATAATGGATTGTTACAATACAGAGCCCCAACAGGAGTTTCTGTATCCATGGTCAAAGAGCAGAGATAACTCTGTGTCATGGAGTTGTCTGAAACCATTCTGAGCCAACAGTGTTCGAATTAATGAGAAGAAAGATGAACAGAGAATGTAGACGGACACACATTCTGTACAGTCCTGCAGGACATTTGCTGTAAAAACAGTGAACTGAACAAGACTCTGGTTACAATGTTTAAAATCAATTGTTACAATTTCCTGCAGTCCAGAGCAGTATAGTTGCTCTGTTGTTTTATACTTAAAGGTCCTGTGGATTTGGTGGCATCTAGTCTAACAGTGGCCACGAAATGTGCAAAAAACACTCAATGTGTGGAAAACTCAGAAACAAACGGGATGAAAGGTGACTTGCGACATCTGCAGATAAAAACAGATCATTCTAAGACAAAAAAAAACAACAGTTCTTATTTTCAGGTGATTAGATGCTGATGAAAACATACCTATGAATGTTAGCTTCCATTTCTCCCTATATAGATCCTCCCAAATGTAGTATACTGGACCTCAAGAGGTCTGTCAAAACTTTAACACACAAATATTTTAGGGTTGCCAGACTGGGACATATCAAGCTTTAGTCAATGTCTTTTTCTTTTCTGTCTAGCATGCATTTCTTATAAATTTTACATTTTGCCCAAGGTTATTGAGACCATAGACATTGTGAACACTGCAAACAGTGAAATAAACTGGCCCTGAGCTGCATTTGCAGTTGAACCTTATTGCATTCTCCAGTGATGAGGTGACGAGGGCAGCTGATGAAACAGTGGGCCAGAGAGCTGATATAACTTTGAAATTAAAGTTTGAAGTCAAACACACAGATACAGTTGTGTTGACGGGTCGGAATTGAGTTGGAGGAGAGAGAACGGAGGGAAATGAGAGGTTCCCTGGTGGGAAATAAACAAATGAATTTCTCTTTTGGCTAGAGTTAGTTTCCATGTCTCTCTCTCCTTCACCGGCTTATTCACTTTATCCTCTTCTCTCTTTCACTTTATCCTTCTCTTACTCATACTCACTGATGTCCTCTCTGCACATGCAGTCCCTCTTGTTTGTTATGTTGTTAGCAGCAGGGTCTTGTTACTGCTACTGATGAGAAGTCATGCGTCTTTTGTTAAAAGTTGCAATAAATCACACTGCAAATACTGGCTGATCCTCTACAAACACAAGTATGCTCTGCACCTGTGTGAAATAAAGTACCTGCTGAAAAGTCTTTATTTATACTTCTAAAGCCATGGTGAAATGAAAACAACCACCTAATCTAGCACTATCCACACTATTCTGAATCTATTTATTTATGATGCCAATAACTAGAAAAAAAAAGTTATTGAGGATGAACTCCAAATATTGAACTCCAACTTTACTGTTTGGACCTAATATTGTTACAAAAAGTCTGATGCTGTGTGGATTTGAGTATTAGGGCCAGACTAAGAAAAAGCTAATTTTTGGGGGGGAAATTACGAGAATAAAGTCATAATGTTACGAGAATAAAGTTGTAATAATACGAGAATAATGTAATAATAATATAATAAAAAAAGTTGTTTTAATGAGAAAAACAAAAAAAACGCCCCCTTTTTTTTTCAGGGGGAAAAAAAAGGGAAAAATTTTTTTTTTAAAATTGGACAAAGAAGTCCCATAAAATTACTACTTTATTCCGATAGTATGCTTTATTCAAGATCTGACAATTTTATTCTCGTAATGTTACGACTTTATTCTCGTATACCTAAAATTATGACTTTATTCTTGTAATATTATGACTATATTCTCGTAATTTCCCCCAAAAAAGGATATTTTTTTTCTCTTAGTATGGCCCTAATACTCCGTCGGAAGTATACAATACATTTTGGTACTTCACAATTATGCACAAGCAGCAAAAAATAACAATATGTGGATTATCTAAAACTTAATTGAAATCCATTTTCATAGTGTAATTTTGCTTAACCGTTTAATAACAGCATTAAGTGATACATTTTGTGCATCAATCCAACAGCAAATACAGTGTCAATGCCATATAACTTCCCAAAGAGGAAGCAAAATTACTTTTTGGGCGAAAATGGATTGTATTTAGTCTGCGCACCGTCTGATTTGAACATCATTTCATCACTTTTCCATGTTGAATGCACAACATACACATAAAAAGTAAACAGTGTGGAATTAGGACACAGTTTTAGTCCTTTTCCTCCTTTACCTTTGTGTCTCATTATCCATGCACGTGTTGTCTTTTTCACTTTGTCTTCCTTTTTGCAACAACTGAAACCTGAGGCACCTCTTTGTTCTGTTTTATTTCATACTGCTCATCCTTTCTGTACTAATTATCTCATTTCCTTCTTCTCTTCTCTTCTCTTCTCTTCTCTTCTCTTCTCCTCAGTGAATCAGTGGCTCCTGAAGTAGAAGATTAAAAGATGTCGAGCTTGCAGCGCCACAAGAGGGGAGGCATTCAAGACTATTTCACACTGCCAAGCCGAGCTTAGCTGAACAAACTTGAGACCAACTGAGCCCGCTGACTGACCTGAACTAAACTGATCTCAGCTAAGCTCGACTGACGGAACTTCAAACAATCTTCTGTGCTGGCCTCCTACACATTTACAATCTGAACGCAGGTCATGTGGGCCAGTAAAGTGAGGGTACAGAGCAGACTTTGAGTTCAAAGTGTGAAATAGGCCGTAAGGACTCTGAATCCTGCACTGTGTTTTTATTTGTTGCGTGAACTCACAAAGACTGGATATGTAAAGACTCTCAATCATTTTATTTGGCTGGTTTTCAGAGGGATGGATATAATCTAAAGACTACAGTATGCTCTGTTTGTGATCGTCACTTCCTACAGAAGGCAGTTATGGAAATGATCATCCACTGACTGGAGGAATGATTTCCATTGATGGTCTGAACCCCCGGCAACAAAGAAACACTCAGCTGTGTTATGATGAGAAATGTAAAAGTCTGCTGGTTCTGATATCAAATAGCAACTAAAGAAGGTAATTTTCAAAGAGAGTGTGAAGTGTGAATTTCAGGTTACATAGCTGAAGGGGCCGAAACAGAGGGTGAGACTGCAATTCTGACATTTTATAGACCTGAACAGCTGGAGTCACTAGAGATTAGAAGGGGATAGGTCACTCATTTTGCATGATTTTATAATAGTTTACTTGTCTTCAAGGAATTAAATTAAAAAATGGTGACAGAATTCAGCTTGCGTCACGTCCCTGCTTTGCACAGCAACACAAAGACTACAACAGCTAACATACTAATTCATCAAAGCCATTAATGACCAAATATTGACCTTTTGCTGATCTTCTCCCCTGAGCAAAGATTGTCCAATCATAGCTTAGCAACCATAAGTAGGCACAGAGGCCTGTCAAGCTCTGAATTTGTCCACGTGTTGAAGGGGTATCCTCGGTGTCTCTCAGTTGGGTGGGTGATGCTTTTTATCACCTTAACAAAACCAAAAACACAAGGGCACAACAGAAAAGTGAAAGGAATGGTTTAAACAGGGTGTAGTGTAGCAATTGTTAGCATGCCTAGCTAACTAGCTTAACTTTCTACCTAAATAATTGATTATTTTCACAGGCTAGGGGCATGTCATTAGCTAACTACATTATTTTGTGCAGTTACAGATTATGTTACCTCTTCAGGAACTCTGCTCCATATGTGCTGTGCGAGAAGCAAGCACCAATAGCATGAACTCCATAGGGTACTTTTATTTAACAGATCTCAGGTAGCAATAGTTATTCACAGTATAGGTGCCCACTGGTCCATGCACCTTTTGACCAGAGCTGATTGAGAGTCCACTTGGATCCATTCAGGCATTAGACACACATAGACCCGAGTCCCCGAACATAAATTGAATCGGCCCAACTAGGGTTTCTGGTCAGGTCTCAGTTACATGAAATGGAAACACGAAGACATCTTGTCCAAAGTGAACATGTAACATTTTAAAGTTATAAAATGGGTGACCTACAGTATGCATATTATGGATAGACATCATGGATCAACAGCAACACACCATTGGTCATTAGCTTGTTTGACTGTTTTTCAGTTTGCTGTGATGTTGTATCTCATGAAAGGAGCAAAACTGGGTCGTTTTCTTCGTTTCTGTTTTAAAATGTAACTGTAATGAATATATTGAGCTGTAATGAGGATGACGATCAGTGTGATAACATGTAGCTCAGTGGAGAAATGCACAAACTATACCACTAACTATGAATGTTATGTTATTTATTTTGGGGTTGCCTGAAATAAAACTCATGGTATACTTTGAGTGGCTCTGTAAATATGAGTTTGTATTAAGCTTGATTACCTTGGAAATTCATACAGTTTTGGACCAAAATAAACACTGTCATTGTATGCTTAAAGTGAGTGGAACTCTTGAACTTAAACCGGGCAAGAAGTCAATAAGAAGTAAGTGCAAGACTGGCCAAAATCTCAACTCAACAAACCCCCCACAAACTTGGCTAAAATGAAAAATGCAAATATTATGTTAAAAAAGCAGAACTTCTTCAAATCTCTGATGAAATAAATGGTTTGATGAGCTTTAGCAGTTCATAGCCAAACAGATGTTCACCTTTGCTTTTTTCCCTTCTGTTCATATAAGCAAGCTCCAAATAATTTGTTCAAATATTTTTTATAATAAACTGGTGATTTCCTGTGGAAACGCATAGTGCAAAATGCCAAGTGACCAAGTCATTAATAGTAGATTAGGAAAATAAAAGGTCCAAGAATGGACCCCTGTGGGACACCACTAGTAACTCTCACCATATGAGATATCCATTCAAAATTAGGAAAGTCATTTGAAAGACATTGTCATGTAGCCATTGTGTGATTGCTAAAAAAATCTAAAAATTACAATAAGGATATTAACATACAGATACAAACACAGAAAGACAGAGAGAAGAACAGACAGAAAGAGTTTCAAGGGCCTATAGGGTATAACAACTCACACAACGGAAAAATTAAAAAAAAAAGCAGTAGAAAAATTCAGGCCACATCTGCTGACATATATCAAGGCAGCAGCCTGCCTGAGTTACATAAGCATGTCCCATTACACCTGGTGAGAACTGCTGCCCTGGAAGGCTATACCTATATAAACCCAAAGGAAAACCCACATTATGTAACTGATCGCTCCAGTACTCAGACGGAACTGGCTGACTCACACAGTTATTATAAAACCAAATCTTATAATACTTATACACATAATTTTGATAGCATGATATAAAGGACCAGAGTAATATAGAGTAAGTTCTGTGTGCTGGTACTATTCATCTGTATGATTTAAGAGCAAATGTGCAGGAAATACAGCAGAGAAACAGAACGTGGATATGATTGTTATATGTGTGGTGAAGTGCATTACTGTGAACTGGGACATGTCTTAGGCTACAGATGCTCTTGAAATTCTGAGAAATGTTGATTGGTTGTCAGGTTGTCCTGGTTCAGACTGTCAGTAAAGTAAATAATACATCCAAGTTCTGCTTACATGTTTGGTTGAAGACATTTCACTCTCTGTGATGGCCGGATACTAAGATGATGTAATAAGCACATCATATTTGCTGTAGTTCCAGGATGATAGATGATAGAAAAGTAAAAAAAAAAAAAGCCTGGATAGTCATCTAATAATTATTGAGATATTTCAGTCTGGAACATGGAACAATGAATTCATAAAGCTATGCCGCTATCGTTGCTTATAACAAGCAAGCAATTAGCCCTTTTTTCGTATTGTGCAATTAAGAGTTGCAAACATGGATATAAACAATGCACAAGTATTTTTTTCAAAATCTGCCTCGCAAATGTTTTATGAGGAGGAAGGCATTTTTTAGACCTCAAGGATACACACACTGACACACACAATGAATTTTAGTGAGAAAAACTGAATAACTTTGTGGAATAGAAAACTCCACAGAGCACCCTAAAATAAGGTTTACAGGTTTATCTCAGCTTGGGGTTAGAGACAAACGTTTTTAACAATAAGATTGTATTACCCATGGGTGGAAGTAACGAATTACAACTAGTAACTGAGTTTTTTTCAATGTTATTTTGAACTTAGCTAAGTATTTAATATACTATGTAATCTACTTCACTACCTTTAAAATCATAATTTACTGCTAAGTAGGCCTACAATTTATATCTTAATTTTTCATCAGCATTTTTGTAGCCAATGCACCAGGGGCCGAAGCGCCCCTGAAGCGCTGATGTTACAAATGTGCTGACCAAAGTGTGCTGCAGCATGGAGCTTCGCAGCCGGCTCGCGATCTGCAGCGGCATCTGTTCTACTCTTTCTGCATGCTGTGAGAAAAAACTCATGATCAAGAAAAAACTCATGATCAAGATCAAGAAATCAAATAAAATGCTTCAGCTGGCTGGGTTGGAGAGGTGACCACACTGACCAGAAAAGTGCAGGAGTTGGGTGTGATTTAGGAACTGGGGAAACAGAAATCAAATGGAGACAGATTAGGCCAATGTCTGGCTGTTGGTTCTGCGCAGGTTCAAAAACATGTTTAGCATGCTTTTAACAGACAAAATGCCACTATCTGTTTATTTCTTTAGAAAACAGATTACTTTGGATTGTTCCATTCTTTACATTTATCAGAGCTTTGTTGAAAGTAGATATTTTCTACATGGATCTCCCCTTTCCATTGAATCCTATTATTGATAATACATTAAACATTAACGGTTAAAAAGCAACCAGTACCCTGAGTAGATTTTGAGAAGAATTCCTTGTACTTTTACTGAAGTCTTTTTTTAACATGGTAAATGGACTTATTTTACACTACATGCCACATTTACCCATTCACACACATTCATACAGTGATGGTTCAGCATTAGGAGCAATTTGATGTTTACTATCTGTCTCAAGGACACTTCGACGTGTGGGGGTGGGAGCTGGGGATCGAATGCCAACCTTCTGTGTATTAGTGGACGACCTGCTCTACCTCCTGAGCAACAGCCACCCCCAACTCCAGCAGTTTTACTTGTAGCTGAGTAATATCTCAGTACTGTAACAGTACTTCGACTTGAGTACAGATTTTCAGCACTCTTTCCACCACTGGTGTTACCCACTGAACGAATAGATAGGTATTTAAAAGGCTGTATGCTGATTGCATGATGGAACATGTATGAACCAGTGATTTTAGAGGTTGTCCCATACTGGTATCATTTTCCACAGCAACAGAATGTCTTTGCTCTCACATCCGAGGGTAGGTCACCAAACCTACACACAACAACACTAATGGTGTAACCATATTTGCTCCTACAGCAGTATTGACTGAACTAACCACGGATGACATGGAGTAATAGTGAGAACACTGTGGAACAAAATGTCAAGCACAAGGATACCAGAAACATGCATAGGTAGAGACTGGTGTCCATAAACCTGCTGCCCTGGTAAATGGTAAATGGTAAAAGACTCCCTTCTCCATCCCAACTTTGGTATTAGGACTAGTTACATGTGTAGTGTAAAGGAATAATAAGGCTGGTGCCAACCCTCCATGAACCTGAAAAATAATGAACATTGCTGTAAATGACTGAAGCTGGTTTTATTCTCCATCACTCAGAAAGGTCTGGAGGTCCACCCTTCGCTGTAGGTCGTCTGAAGAAGCCACACTGTATTTGACCTACATCCTCTGTTGAACAGTGCGTTGCTTTTTTCCACGAACATGGCGAGCGACGTGATTTGTCTGCAAATTCAACTCACGAGGCGCTCCTTATCAAATATTTATCCTCATTTTGGATTCAGAGCTGTAACTGCAAAGAAGAGTCTGCTTGTGTGTGTGTGTGTGTACGTACATGTGCCTGCCTGTTTTCCTGTGTGGGTCTATGCGTGTGTGTGTGTGTGCATATCCATCCATCCAGCTCTCGGCTGGGCTGTATTTTGTCAGATTAAAGAGGGTCTGATGCTGAGTGTTAAGCAGCCTGCTGTCTGGTTTGGTTTTGGTGTCTATCACAATAGTAGCCATGGGAATATCACACTCTGCTCTGCCCTCAGGTTAGAAGCATGCTGCTTCTCTGGTTAGCACACTCGCTCTCTGTCTCTGTCCCGTGGTCTGTCTATCACTCCGTTCTCTCTGGAACTCACTCAATCTATCTGTATCTTTCATCCCCTGCATGTCTTTCACGCTTTTTGTGTCCTTCTGACACGTTACTGTGCAGAAATGATGAAGAATAATGTATGTTGGTCTGTATGTCACTATATGGCTTTTGTACTGTATTGCCAAAAGTATGCAGACATCCATGTCCACATTTTGGGCTGGATTTTTTGTTTATGGTTCAGGCTATAGATCCTTTAGTTCCAATTGAGGGTAATCTTAATTGTCTTGTAACTTCGGAGCAACAGTCTGGGGAAGGTCCTTCTGTTTATGTGTGGATATGGTTTACTCAGTCTGGCGTGGTACTTGCTCGCATACAGCCCAGACCTCAACCCCATCCAACACCTTTGGGATTAATTTAAACTGTGACTGCATCTTTGTAGACCGAAATTAATCCCACAGAAGGGGATAATGGCGCATATATTTGTACACTCTCTCCTCGAAGGCATTGGTGATGTTGCACTCGTTGTACACACGAAAAAGTAGTTGTGTGGTGAGAAAAACTAGAACATGACAGAGAAGCTCAAACCCTGCTTTACTTTACTTTCTCTGCACGTCTGGTACGCTCACAAATCCAACGTCAGAAAGATGTGGTGAGAGGGAATAGACTTTTTTCACAGCAGCAAGTTTGACATGAAATAGTAGGCTAAACATGCATGTTACCCAATAATGCTGTTCCATTTAGTGTAGCCGAGCCTTTCAAGTGAGCCAGCATGCACAACAGCAGCACCCTGACTCTCTTTGAACTGAATGGGACGGAATTAGTACAATCGGTAACGCCTGTGTTTACTTTATTATTTCATGTCAAAATGGCTGCTGTGAAAAAGGTCTATTTCTAACCCGGTCTTACTCCCAACTCGTCCAATACTGCCGCTTTGTCAGTACCCTTTCCACTTTACAATATGACGTAGGTACCCCTCTCGCATCCATTACATTACATTTACAACCACAGTGCTCATCCTCTCTAATGCTCTTGTGGCTGAGTGTTAGTAAATCTCTGCAGGCAAAGTCCAACATTTGGTGGGAATACTGAAACCAGGAGGATGTTGGAGGTTGATATTAAAGTACATTAATGCCAACAGAATGTCCATATACTTTTGGCCATATAGTGTGTCTTCATCTCTCACACAGTTGCTTCTTGCTTTCTCATCTCCTCTCCTCCTACATTTCTCTTCCTCCCTCGCTCCCTAGAGTTTTCCACCCTCAGCTTCACACACACACACACAACACCCCCCCCCCACCCCCACACACACACACATTTTCTCTTTTCTTCTCTC